TTTTTTTTTTTTTTTTTTTTTTTTTTTTTTTTTTTTTTTTTTTTTTTTTTTTTTTTTTTTTTAATTTCTCCCTTTCTAATTGTTTCTTTTTTCCTTAAAGAAATATAATCAGTGATATGTTGTATTGTATGTGTTTGTTGATGATGATAGGTGAGAGCTGCTCTGTTGAAAAAGAGCTGGAGGCCACAAGAGCAGTAAATGCTGTATATCAAGACAAGACAAATATTCTTTTTTCTGTAAGAATTTTATTGTTTAAATTTGAAAATAGGTGAAATCATTGGAGATTGAACATATTTTGTTTCTGTTTCTATTTCTTTTTGAAACAAAAACATGAAGTTAGCACAAAAAACCTAAAAATAAATCACTTTAGGGGAGCTTAAACAGAACATTCGAATTAGTATTAATTATATTGGGACTATAATTGCTAGGAGACTTGGATAAAGCGCCAAGAAGAAGCCTGATATCAAGTCAGATCTCCACCCTTTCCTTAAAAAATCCTTTGGTTTCTTTGTTACCGAAGTCCTCAAGTGATTTGCTTCCATAGCATTGATCCACAACATGTTGGCTCTACATGTAAATCAACGACCACAAAGATATTTTATACTATTGTCTTTAGAATATTTGCCAACACCCATGAGCAACCAACACAGCAACATTTCTGGCAGTACGAACCATGGAAGGAAAGATGCAATTTGTCCACCCTTAGCTTTCATGAATCACAAAGCTTAGAGCAAACTTGGGGAATGTCCTTTGTAGTTGGATGTGTTAATACCTGCTGCATGAAAACATTCACATTCTTTGAGGTCTTTTGTCTTCTAATAGGCATTCATAGGGTTGTTTCCGTATCAAAGCTTAATTTTAAGTTCCCTAACCACTTCCAATCAGGCTTCCTGACTCTTTTGTCTTCCCGCCTATCAAGAGGCAATCCATCAATAATCTCAAAAGGAGCTTTTACCTCCATTTCCCATCTAGTATATTTCTTCTTTCTACAACTTTTCAAGACTCTTCTCGTTGATCAATATAAAAAATTGAGGTAACTAAAGGAAAGAAGTAATCAACCTTAGATAGATCTCTTCGTACCCTTTCCAACACCAAAAATTGATGGCATTTCTGCTATAATCAAATACCAAAAATTTGAATATCCTCTTGACATTTCTTTGATTATATTTGTAATCTCAATCTTCAGATTGATTATAATGGGAAGTAAGTATGTTTGAGACTTTTAAGAAGAGAGAAACTTCGCAACACACAATTTAAAATTGTTTTCATCTGTTCTTTCAAGTTGACTGTTTTGGTGCATTATGAAATTTTAGTATTTCAGTAACTTTTCTCAACATGGTCAATGATTGTGTGGAGCTCTGTTCTTGGACATGTTTTTATATTAATGATTTTCATCCTTTACTAGGATTTGTAAGTTTTCTATGCTTTTGTTACTATCAGGGCACCGTGGTTGTTGCTGGCAGGGCACGTGCTGTTGTGGTAGGAGTTGGTGCAAATACTGCTATGGGCAATATACGAGATTCTATATTGCAAACGGATGATGTAAGTGCCACTAAGTAGTATCTCTCTCTCACTCTCTCTTTTGTTCATTCTTTTCATTTTTTAAATAAGTTGCCTTCCTGTTACTGGAGAAAATGTTGGAATCGCGAGTGTCTAATCCATCAAAATGATAATGGAGTTAAAATAAGGCTCTTCAAGTTTTTATGATAAATAATTATGTTTACTACTAAATTTTTTTAAAGACAGTAGTTCCTAGTATTCCATGCCATACTTCTTTGTAACCACTTATTTTGATTAAAAAAAAAAAAAAAAAAAATCGAAGCCACAAACCAAAAACCAAAAAGACCATTGATTTAGGATTTGGGGCTTCTTTATTTGTTCTTGATCTTTTCTATAACCGTGTATGGTTATTTGTTTTATTCCGTTTCTTATATTTTAATTTGTTACTTTCTTGTACAAGCTTTTACCTTCGGTAAATAGCTTCTTTTACCTTTCGATGAGGTAATTAGCCTTAGGTTTAGGTTATTTTCTTCCTATAAAACAAAGCCTGAATTTCTTTTTGAGCCAATCACAAATTGAGGCATTTATTTGGAAACTTGAGTGCATCAACCGTCCTATTTATTTGTTCCATTAAGAAGTTAGAAGCTTTTCTATATCTCATACCTTGTTTTCATTAAGTTCCTCGAGTCAAATCAATCCAATTATATCATATTAGATTTAGTTACTAAAAGAAATAATGTACATAATCACTCGTTGATAAAGTAAAAGAGGAAACTTTTTTTAAATAAAATTATTAGTGCATTATCATGAGATTTAGGGAAGCTTCTAACCTGGGATATGGCTCTTCCTTGTAAATCAATCTCTAATGTCTCTATCTGGAACTGTGAAACTATATATACTTTTGACTTATCTAACTCCTGTGATCTAATTTTGCACCAGTTGCATCTGAAATGACATCGAACCTTTCTTTTTCTCCACCAGTTTACTGTCTTAATTTCATTATTTCAAATCTATTTTCAATTGCAGGAGGTGACACCATTGAAAAAGAAGCTAGATGAGTTTGGTACTTTTCTGGCCAAGGTGATGCAAAGTGCACATTAAGTCTTTGATCCTCTTTTCAGTCCTTGGGTCTACTAGCTTCATTAATTTCATTATTTAGACATTTGGATATTCTTAGGTTTTACATGAGAGAATTAATGTGCACATGCGAGATTGACTTCTGGTGAAAACAATATATATATATATATATTATATTATATTATATTTAGTTCAAGCTGGGTCCAGGTTTGGCTTTAATTCGTGAGAGTTAGATATGCCTCTTGTCTATCATATATCTATTGCGATCCATATCAAACTTCTCTCAGAAGCCATCTTTTACATTCAATCTAGATGATTGGTTCATCAACTGCAGATTAAATCATTGAATAATCAGGAGTAATTTCTGAAGTCCACTTCTCAAAGCTCACTTTTGTTTGTTGATATTCTACATCTACTTTTGGTCTGATCTTTAACTTTTTATTCATTTGTAATCAGGTTATTGCTGGAATTTGTGCACTTGTATGGATAGTGAACATTGGTCACTTTCGTGATCCTTCTCATGGTGGGATTTTGAGTGGTGCAATACACTACTTCAAGGTAATTTTCTTTTGAAAGGATTTGTTATTTAGTTGTTCTTAAATTGAATTCTGTGGCGCCCTTTATGCTAAACTAGACTTCGATAGGGATGTCCCTACATGGATGCATACAATGTAAGGAAATGGATTTTATAAATAGCAGAAAATGGGAAAAGCATTAAAAAAATAAAAAGTAACGCAAGATCCCTTTAAATTTAATGCGCAAAACAGATAGAGAGAGTCGTGAATAAGGAAAGGTGAAGTCAGAGACAAGTTCTCCTTTTACATAATAAAGACGGAAGTGAAACAAAGAAAATGTAAAAATGTATGATGAGATCGTACTGCTATGATTGTAGACACCCTTGGCATACATTTCTTAGGTCACCCACAAAATTTATTGGGGGATGACTATAAAAATGTTAGAAAAAAGTACACTTTCGGTCCCTAAAGTTTGGATTTGGTTGTATTTGGGTCCTTAGTTTTTAAACTCAACCATTTTATCCCTTAAGTTTGCATTTGGTAGCATTTTGGTTATTCAATGAGCTGTTCCGTTAATTAGCTAACAGAAAGATGAGTGACATTTTTTTATTAAAAACATATTTATCTTTTTCTCTCTTTTCTCCCTTCTTCTTTCTTCATCCTCCTCCCATCCGTCGTCACCGCCACTGGTGCCATTCCTCTTGCCTTTTCATCTTCTTCTTTTTCCCTTTTCCTCTTCGTCTCTCCTCTCCCCTTCCCTTCCCTTCCTTTCTTCTATAAGCCCCAATTCTTGACCAAATGCAGCCATGCTTTTCATATGGAATTTATCGACACTTGGCTTTTGACCCATTCGACTTGTCCTCTCTGTCGTGCCATTTCTGGGAATTTGGAGGATGAAGGAACACCTATAAATAAAGTCTAAGATGTTAAGCACTAACATTTTTGGGATTTTGACGCTTAAAAGCTTGAAAAGGAAGGCTGTGGAAGGTTGAGATGGGGAAGTAAGCGGTTGAAGAAAAATTTGCTAGACAACATATCAGAAGACTCAGAAGGCCAGAGCTTTCTTCATTATTTTTTTTTTATATAGCACGGGAATATGATGTAATAATTTCAAGCTACTAACTGTTATCGGAGTTATGTAAAGTTCAAAATTTTTTATTAAAACTTTGTGATCACATGTGAAACGTCAAATTTGCAAGTTATAATGTTTAGGGGTGCTGGGAATGGTTAGGATTTTTGATAACTAACTTTGTTTGTTGAAGTTTTCTTTTCATAATGTTTGTTTACAACAATTTGCACTATCTTCTAGTCGTACTGACTGAATATCCCTTTCATGGTCAACGACGTTGCACCTGCTTATCTCCCAACTTAGATTGCAGTTGCTCTTGCTGTTGCAGCGATTCCTGAAGGACTACCTGCCGTTGTCACAACGTAAGTGATTTATTTAAGCTTTTGTAGCAGATAAAGATTTCCACCTTTCACTTGGTGCATGAGAAATTAAGAATATCAGATCACTGTATAAAAGTAGACAAGTGTGGAAACCCCTTCTAAGGCAATAGTTGCAGACTAAGTGACAACAGGAAATTGCGACAATCTAGAATATAGTGGTGATAAAACTACTTTTTGTCGTACATAACCATAATCATTTCTGCAATATGTAATCTAGCATTTTATTCTCATTTACTAACTTTTTATAAATGGAAGCTTAAGATATAGTTGACCATTTGAATGCCTATGAAGCTAATGTTCTAAATACACAATACCTCTCCTGTCCTTGGCCATGGTGCAAGGTTCATATGCATTAAGTATGCCATGTATTGCTTAGCATCATTTTTCCATATTAATGTTTTTTCAGGTTGTAGCTTTCATTCATTCAACTTTATAGTAATTACTCTGCTTCATTCTCAATATCATGATTGCCTAATTTGACTTCTTACTGGGCCAACTTTTATCTTGTCTGAAGATGCTCATAGTTTTCATGTACTACTTATAGGTGTTTGGCTCTTGGCACCAAAAGAATGGCACGCCTGAATGCAATTGTGAGGTCTTTGCCATCTGTTGAGACTTTAGGCTGCACTACTGTTATATGTAGTGACAAGACTGGAACTTTGACTACGAATATGATGTCCGTCTCAAAGGTGATGCTCTTATGAAATATGAGGTTTAAAAATGCGATTTGGTTTAACTTGAGTGTCATGTGATTTTCTCTGTTTTTTATTTTTTTGGTTTGTCTAAAATATTGAAATTTTTTTTTCTTTGTTACTGTTTCTGTTCAGATTTGTGTGGTCCATTCTGTTTTGCATGGTCCACAACTTTCTGAGTACAATGTCAGCGGTACAACATACGCTCCTGATGGTACTATTTTTGACAGCACTGGAGTACAGGTAATTGTACTTTTGTGTAGCTTATGAAATATACGCATTGCATCTCTCCCTCTCTTGTAACTTAGATTGGAAATGGGTTGTTGAAACTACCGACTCTTTTTTTGTTTTCTATCGTGATGTTTTTAGTGAATTAATCATTTATGAATCCAACTTTATTTACCGTCTCAATCAACATCCTCAGCAACTTGCACTCTGGTTATAATCTGCTAAAACTTATAATGGTAGTTTTAAACTCTCTGACAAATTCAAAAGCTAAATAAACTTGTCTTATTGATTATTTTAATGTAGCACCTCTTTCTACATGGTTTAAGAGCTTTGTCCTACTGGCATGGCCCTCTATTTTTCCTTTTAAGTAGCCAAGCATGTGGTCAAAATTGGAAGACCTTTTCTTTTTTATACAATTTTAACTTTGTCGAGGCTTCTTTATGAATTTTTCATTCATTTGTTTGATTAACTTTAGCCTGGTTCAAATGTTTGATTTCTGTAGCTTGAGTTTCCAGCTCAATTGCCTTGTATTCTACACATGGCAATGGGCTCTGCCCTCTGCAACGAGTCTACTTTGCAGTATAATCCAGATAAGGGGAACTACGAAAAAATTGGTGAATCAACTGAAGTAGCACTGCGTGTCTTTGCTGAAAAGGTTAGGGTCTGTTCAAATGTAATATCTAAAAATGTTTTTTTTTTTTTTTTTTTTTTTTAAAAAAAAAAAA